AGGTTGTTTGCAATCCAAAAATTTTCAGGTTATTTCACTCCAAATATTTTTCTCTTCAAAAGGGTAACATAAATAATAAATTATTATCTGCTTTATTCAATATTTAAATAGTAAAACGAAGACAAAATGTGATCATCAAAAGGATTCTGTTTGATATCCAAAGATGATAATTGTTTAACAGTTTAAATTATAAGGGATAAGGAATTTTGAAGTAAAACATTAATTAATAATGGTTTTATGTAAATTTATTAATTTCTTTTCGTTTTCCTTGCATTTCATTATGTAGCACCAAAACCCATTAAATAAAAATTCCAAACAGAATCATGTTAATGATTCTGCTTTCGCTTAAATACAATATAATTTTAAATTAGTAAAGCGTGATTAGAGAATAAACGTTGTTTCAATTATTAATAGAAAATTACTCAAATTTTCTTTAATCAAAAAATTAGTTAAATAAGAATTTATTATGTATATATTCATTTAAATCGATTCTGCATGCTAATTCAAAACTTTCTTAACACTTATACCATAATTAGATAAAATAAAACTTTAAATATAGTGTAGCTTCTCTTAAAATCATAAATTATAATAATGGCCAAAACTAGTACTTACGGAGATGAAATTAAATCAATAATAACTGAAACAAGGAACTAAATTCATCAATCCTTCAGAAAAAAAGCTTCTAAATTAAAGCATTCAGGATCAATGATTCTGAAATTTATTCAAATAAGCTTTGTAAGAGATCGAATAACCGATGTAGCATAAAGAATTCTTCTACCTTTAGTTAGCATTCAAGATTAAAAGAAACAAAAAGGAAATTGACTCTTTAGCCTTTAAAAACAAACCTTTTAGAATCTGCAAACTTAGAATAGTTTTTAACAAAAGACAACAAAGAGAAGTTTTTGAAAAAGAACAAATGTGAAATACATGCTTGGACTATATCAACTAAAACCAAAACTGATTTGTAATGAGAATTTTAATTGTGTATTCTAAAAAAATCTATCTTATAGAATCTGTTTACAATTTAATTTAACAATAAAATGTATTGGAAACATTATAAATTTATTTGTGATAATTGTTATAATTTCTCTGTCATAATTTCAAAATTTTATTAGATTTCAAACATCATGAACTACAAGCATTATTTTTCTGATTATGATACATCATATATTATTGACTGGCAATTCATAATTTAATTATCAATTATGACTGGATATTACATATATGATAAGATTTTATCTAAACGAAGAATTAGAAGAATTCTTAATAATGCAATTCTTAAGTTTAATAATCTATTTAACTTACCCTATACTTAAATTAACTTCTTAATACAAAATCCATTAATATAAAATAAATTATTAAGATTGCCAAGGGTTAAATGCAAACAATATTAATCCTATCACTCATTTCACCACCAAATATTTTCTAATTTAAATTTAGCCAATATCATATTCCCAAATGATTAAATATTCACCATTATCACTCATTGTTCCAAATATACTTGATGTACCAAATTAAATGCTTTGTTGTAATTTAAACTTCATATTTTCTTACTAATCTGATTAGGAACACACATTGATAATATTTATACTTTGACCATTTTTTGATAGAATAATTTTCTTAGAAGGATTGTAAACAGAGGGAAAATACTCATAACAGTATTTACTACCTAAAGTGACTTAGATATCATCATATTTCTTATATTTTCCGAAAAACGAATTGAAAGAGTAGATTTCCAGAAAATCTGATCTTTCAGGTTGAAATGAGAATACTCGATCGGAAATGTAAGTCAATCTAAAACCCTAATATTCTACACTAATTGTTTAAATAATTTTCCATTATTATTTAGTTGAACCACTCATAACTAGAATTTATCTAGCTTCTCCACATGACACTAATTCATTTCCATTTTAATTTAGTGATAATCCAAAACATCTCTCTATTTGATTTCCTATATTTTAGAACTTAACCCATTATTAGTGCTTTGCAATTTCAGAATCCTAAGACCAAAATTGGATACAATTGGAACCGCAGATTATTAGATCTTCGCTAGGGTGAATGACTAGACAATTAATATTATCTGAGCACCCAGTTAATTTTAATAAATATTTTGAGGATTAAATGTTAGTAGACCAAATAGTCAGCTATGAATCATATGAACCTGAAATAAAGTTTGATCTTTTCTTAAAATAATTAAGCGTTACGATATCAGCAGAGTTTTTAAAAGCCCCCAATAATTTCAAAACACCATCTTTGAATTGGAAGAGTTTGATTAAACTTTATTCACTTGCAATTAATTATTAATTATTGTGGTTGATTGCAATTGCCAAGCATAGCTATAAATCATAGGAAAGGTGTGATTAAAGTTAATACGAGAATTCTTCTTATAACATTTTTAATAAAATAAATAAAAAATTCTAAACTTTATTCTTTTTAGAAAGCAGATTGTGTAAATTTTGAGACTCATACACATGTATCATGTATTATTGATTATAATACAAGAAACTATATTTCTTTCAAAACCTTAAAATATCTGTTATCATATTTATTGATAAATGAATAAAAAACCTATTTGCTGATATCAATCAATCAAGAAATTAGACTTCTCTCTTTAATTTATTATTATGATATTATGTTTAATTAAATAAAATTAACTTATAATAAATAATAGTCAACTGGACTTGGATAGAAAAACTTATTTCTTATTGGGGAATTCATACATATTATTATAATAATTATTGATTAGTAATATAGAATTCTAAATTATTCTGAGTCTTTGTTTTAAATTATCTTTCAGGTAGGATTATCGGGGAAACTTGATAATGATTCAGCTTAAATTTAGTCATTGATAAATTAAGTAAGAGTTGGCAGCAGTGAAGATAGAAATAATTACATTACGCTTTTATCTCGCTTTATATTTTTAATTTGAATTGGTGACTAAATTTAATTAAAATTCATTTCTATTAATTTTTTCTAATATTCCCAACATTTATATATCTATTTTAAAATGCATTAGGTAGATTTTCATAATAAACTAATAGCAATCTAGTTTGGATTAAATAATAACAATTCTGAATCACCTGATTTATGTACATTCCAACTATAATTTATTATTTTATAGAATTAAAAATGATTAAATCATTAGGACATAATGAAATGATTGCTTCTTACAGCAATTATGAATTGGACAAGATTACTTCTTATTTAGCTACTGAATGCGTCACTCTATGACTAAACTTTAGTTTATTCTTAATTTTTAGATCAGCCTATTAAAATGGTATAATAGTAGTTAAAATACATAATCTGGATTGGGTAATCTAATATGGACAGGGATGCTTCACTTTTTGTGGAACTGATTGATATTTGGAGGTAAACCTTATTTCTTTTGGGGTACGTTAATACACAAAAATATAGAGTTACTTCTATAGATGAGAACAAAGATCCTTTTGACGGATGCTTTTAAGGAAATTATGATTGTCTCGAGGTTGTAGTAATTGTATTAGAGGTGTTTGTATTGAGTGTTAGAAAGGATGGGAATATGATATTGTATAGAAACATGTTAACCAAAATTTGGAGATCAAATAATTACTCATAATGAAGAATGTGATGAGGGGAATATATATGAATATGATGGTTGATTTTAATGCAAGTTTTCGTGCATTCAACTTTGTAAATAATGTGTGTATGGTCAATACGTATAATACCAATCAAATTATTAATTGGTAGAGAAAAGATGTGTTGAAATAAATGGAATTTGAGATTAAAAATCAGAGGACAAAACCTTTATTTAAATTTCTAATTTCTTAGATTATGGCAATTATACTAAAAATCAAATTATTAAAAATAGTTTACAGTATATTATCATAAATTATTAAGTTATTAATTTGCTGATTCTTTATCCATTAATAATGTTGGTTGTAATGTGTAAACATATGAGAGATTTGGATATTATTATTACAGTAAAAAAAAATACTAAATTTTTTATAGAGTCAGTTTGATAAATGTCTAGAATGCGAAACTTTTTATAAGTTATCTTGGAATAAGAAAGAATGTATTCCTAAATGTGATGACGGAATTACAATTGAATATGAATTTTGTGACGACTAAAGTAATGTATAATTTGATGGATGTTATAAATGCTAAGCAAGTTTCTAATTAGAATGCATATTATGTATAGAATTATAATGCTATGCTTGTATTGAAGGATGGCAAATTATAGATAATAAATGTTATCAACAGTGTGGAGATGGTTAACTTGCTGTTTCATCTTAAGAGTAATGGGATGATGGAAATTATAATTCTTATGATGATTGTAATGATTGTAAATTTGCTTACGATCAAAATTGTTTCTCGTGTGCTACTTCTAAACTTTGTTTTTATGTTATGAATATTTTGAATTGGATGTGAGTAAATTATGTAAACCAAAATGTGGAGATGGAATAATAGTATTTGGATCAGAAGGATGTGAAGATTTAAATAATATTCCAAATGATGGTTGCTATTAATGTATATTTTAATGTGATCTTTATTATTCTAAATGCAATCAAGGTATATGCTTTGAATGTTAAGAAGGATATGAGTTAATTGCAGATGGATGCAAAAAACACTGATTTCAGAAAATCAAAATAACAAATTATATTGTGGAGATTGAAATCAAACAAATTCAGAGAAATGCGATGATGCTAATCAAGACAATTTTGATGGCTGTTCAAGTCGTTGTAAAATAGAGGAAAATTGGATTTGCACTTCGGAATAGCCTAATTAATGCTTTATAAAACAATATTCTCTTTGATATATTAAAATCAAACATACGAACATTAATATGTTTAATGTAGATTTCTAATTAAGTAAAATATATTTCGAAATTCAATTTTACATAGTCAATTTTATCTAACATACATAATTTAAATTAAGATCAATATTAAATAACTATACATCCAGTATGATTAATTTTCATTATTTTATAATAGTGAATGTAAATGACACTTAGTTTACAATTGCCTTATTTGAATTTGATGTCTTATTTTTAGATACTGCTTAAATTCTACTAAATTTATCTATTTCAATTAACTAAGGTTTAATCGATAACAATAATATGCCAGTTGATCTCCCAACATAAACAATATTACTCTAAAAACCTAAAGTTTTAACTTAGGAGTAAATTAATGTTGCAAAAAAATTTAAAAATTTTGGGAATGCTTTAATGATAGGGTTAGGAGCTGTTAGTGTACTAATGCTATTTGTTGGAGATTCATAATCAAGTGTAGAAATTTTCGACACTCTACAATAGTAAATATTTAGAGTTAGATATCCAAACTTAGCTTGATTGTTCTCCTCTATATCCTTTTATAATTCTATCCAAAATACTTCTTAAATATTTTTTTTCCTCTAATTATTTTAAATTTTTTAGCTCAAGTAAATACAGAGTTTTAGAAAAGATAGGAATTCAGATATATAAATTCAATTAACAATTCATCAATTTAAAGTAGCTCTATACGATGAAAAGTTTAAAGCAGATATATTATGCAAATGCTTGGGATTTACTTTTTAAAGTTATTCTATTTATGACATCGAATAATGAATTAGGATATCGATTAATTATATCCTAATATATTTCTATTGGAGTGTTGAGTATGTTCGCTTATTTTTTAAGTCTACATTGCAAAGGATTAACTAAAAATCTTAGATATTTCGAAATTTAGAAATGACTAACATGAAGGCATATGTTTATTGAAAAAACTGATTTTCATCTTAAAATTAATTGATTTCTAAAAAAGTGATATATTTTAATGTGCAATGATAACCGCTTTGATTTTTGCATATATTGGATCTTTATTAATGATCAGATAAAATATACCAAAATTAGAATTAATTGGAATAATTTTGATGGAAGCTCCAGTAATGCTTTTTACGTTGACAAGTTTAGTCTATTGCTCTGATTTTGATAATTATTTGACAACTGAATTTCAAATTTTGTTAGGATTTTGCTAAATCGGAATTTTGATTCTTGGTTTATTAGGACCATTAATTAAACTTGGAATTTAACTTCAACAAGAAATTTATTCAGGGAATCGCTTAGGCGAGATCCCAGACGCGCCGTGCCGG